GGCCAACATGGGACTATTGGCCAACATGGCTGAGCCTTCTGGGAGCTGCTCGTCCCTTAAAGGGGAAAGGTTGGCTACCCCTGATCTAGACTGTAGAAATTATGCAGTTTGAAACCACTTTGACTGCCATGCCTCCATCATATAGAATCCTGGAATGTGCAGTTTTGTGAGGCACCAACACTCTTTGGCAGAGAAAGCTAAGGACCCTGTAAAATTATGAATCCTAGGATTCCATAGGATGGCTTTACTCCTGCAGTGTAGTTGCACCCTAAAATAATTTATACCTTACTATTTATGATTGGCAGAGGACAGATTTAACCTCCTTTTACTGCTATAATTACCTAAATAATGAGGTTGTTCTTCATTCTATAATTCTTCTGCCTTTAAAAGTAATATAGTAACAACCATACTGTAAATGGGAGGTGTGTAGGCTGTTCTAATCCAGCTTGACACTGAGCCATGGCTCAATGCTATGGAATTCAGGGATTTATAGTTTTGTGAGATATTTAGCTTTCTCTGTCAGAGGGCTCTGGTGTCACAACAAACTAAAAATCCCAGGATTCCATAGGATGGAGCCATGACAGTCAAAGCAGTGTCAAACTGCATAATTCTGCAGGTACTTCTGACATTTGCATAATCCATGCAGTGATCACAATAAGGATGTAGTACATGCTCTCTAAGGGAATTAATACACATTCCAAGTGACAAAATATTGTAGTTTGGAAGCTGAGGAAAAATAATGGAAGCTGAGGAAAAATAATGTACAGAAAGGGTAGCTTTGTACAATCACATCCCTAAAACTTTTCTTCTCCTTTAAAATGAGTCATAGCTCTTTTTCTAAAGTTATTAATGGTGACTATTGGAATTATACTTGATTGTAAATCACTTTGTTCACAGTTATTTTGCTTTAGTTTGATTGGATTCATTTTGTTTTTTAAATTACATTCTTTATCTTCTGTACAGCAAGCATGATTTAGTTGTTTGAGTGTTGGATGTGGATTCTGGAGACTAGGGACTTTATTGCACTTCCAAAAAACCCGACTGCTCCCAAATAGGATACATTCAGGTTGTGGGTTGCTACCAGGTATTATCAGACTTAATTCATCACTGACACCACTGGGCGAGTGCAACCTGGCAGCATCCCAGGTCCCAGGCAATCTCTTGTCTTGGAAAAATGGCCTCTGAAACATACCTGAGTCTCGGGATGCAGCTAGTTTGCACTCGCCTGGCAGCATCGGTGCTGAATTAAGTCTGATAACATCCAGTAGCAACCCGCAACCTGACTGTATCCCATTGGAGACCAGTCGTATTTTTTGGAAGTGTGATTCAGGCCTCTGCTCAACCATGGAAATTCACAGTATGGACTTCAGGGAGTGTCCCTCTCTCCTCCTTAGAGGAGGGCCACAGAAAACCTCTCTGAATAAATTGTACAAAAATCTCAACCAAACAACCAACCCCCTGATAGGATTGCATAAACCAGAAATGACTTGAAGGCACAATACAACAACTAACAACACTATTTGCTGTAATAGGTTTCAGAAGATTAGGTTCTTGAAAAGCATCTAGAAAAAGAAAAGATTTTTAAAATTTAAAGCCCCACTATTAATATAAAAAGTCCAGGTTGGGTCCTGTATTTATGTCTTGCAGATGGAAGGGCCCTTTATTTCCATGGAAGGCCTCTGAGCACTTTTTCTGGTAGAATGTGGGACAGTTCCTATTTGCACTGGAACCCTATGCTACTGGAAAATCCTAGAGTGTGGAATAGCAGGAGAAATGGTTTGTTTCCATCATTGTCCATGAATGTGTTGTATGTTGTGTGCCTTCAAGTTGTTTCCAACTTATGGCAACTCTGACATGAACCTATGACAGGGTTTTCATAGCAAGATTTGTTCAGAGGAGGTTTGCCATTGCCTTCCTTTGGGTCTGAAACTGTGTGACTTGCCCAAGGCCCCCTACTGGATGGCCAAGCAGGGTTTTGAACCCTGTTGTTGTTGTTGTTGCTGTTGTTGCTGTGTGCCTTCAGGTCATTTCCAATTTATGGTGACCCTAAGGTGAACCTATCATGGAGTTCTCTTGGCAAGATTTGTTCAGGCAAGATTTCCCATTTCCTTCTTTTGGGGCTGAGAGTATATGACTTGCCCAGGTCGCCCAGTAGATTTCATGGCCGATCTGGGAATCGAACCCTGGTCTCTAGTGTTGTAGTCTAACACTCAAACCACAATACCATTCTGGCTCTCTTTTTGAATTCTGGTCTCCCATAATTCCAGAGTGCAACTACACAGTAGAAATAGTTCAGTTTGACACCACTTTAACTGGCTCCCTCCTACAGAAAGCTGGAATTTGTATTTTGTGAGACACCAGCATGCTTTGGCAGAGAAAGCTAAAGAAATTGTAAAATCACAAATCACAGGATTCCATAGGACAGAACTACAGCATTCAGCATTCAAAGTGGTGTCAAACTGCATTACTTCTGCAGTGTAGATGGATCCTTAGTCCAATACTCAAACCACTACACAAGTCTGGTTCTAGTAATTGTCAGTAGGATATGAATATAATTCTCAGTTTCAGTTTAAAGCAGTTATCCAAGGTGCTGAAGGAATTTTTTTTCAAGGTGCTGAATACTACTTCCTAAACACACTCAGACCTTTGGATAGTTCCTTTAAACTGTGGGTGGACAAAGTGCTGCCTGTGGTCCACACACAACACTTAGAGCCCCAAGCCCTTGAGCCACCCTGAAATTCTCAGATCATCTTTTAAAAAAATCTGGCCTCAATTCTGTTTAATGTTGCTCTCTTCCTGTTTCTATTTGTCCCATTTCAGGCTTTTTGGTTTTTCTCCTATGTTTTTCAAAGTATGGAATCAGGAGGGGGGGAGAACAAGAAAGAAATCCTGCTGCATTTTCCAGAGGTTTTGAGCTGCTTCTGGGAGAGGGAGCTTGATGAAAAATCACCTAGAAAAATCTATTATGTGGGTTTTTTAATACAAGGATTGGGAGCTTTGATGCCCTGGTATGGATTGTTGTTTGTGGGGACACTATCTTTGAATGATGGTCTTTCTACAGTTGTTTTATCCATACTTTACCCATGGTTTACAGGATAAACTAAAAGCCAGAGTGGATTTACCATTCTAGTGATGTTGAAGCAACCAAATGTCCCCTGTAGGAAAAAGGAATTGACAATGGTCATGTTCCACTCTTCCTTCCATGGGGAGTATTCTTGGTGAGATTCTGTTCAGGAACTGCTACTAGCAGTAGAAGGAAATGTTGGATCCATCCCTCTATCTATAGGGTGCATACATTTCAGACAGCATTCTTGAACCAGGTGCTTTCCAAAAGTTTTGAACTACAATTGCCACTAAGGGCTAACACATCCATTGGGCACAGTGACTGGAGACAGAGGGAGCTGTGATCCAACACATTTAAAGAAGGACGCAAGTGTGGGAAGCCTGATTTAAGGAAAATGAATGGAAAGTCCAGACTCTTTCTCTCTTTCTCTCTTTCTCACTCACTCACTCACTCACGCACACACACACACACACACACACACACACACACATGTTAGATATACAATATTTAATCTAGGAAGGAACAAACTGTTTCTTTGAACACTCAGTCTTGAAAGAAATCTCAAGAGAAATCTGTTACAGGATTACCTCTCCAGAGCTAGCCCTAATTACATATTGAGCTCCTAAAAGAGAACCTTATTTGTTCATAGTGTTAACTTAGTAAAGCATTTTATCCTTCTATAAAAGTAAAAAGGTTGTGTAACTAAGTATAACAAAAACAAATGAATAAACATTATAAGAAATGAAACATTGTTAACCATTATTCAAATAAAGTTTTATTGTTATTTAATTACAAGCTTAGAGTTGAAGAGCAACCACCCTCTCAATCACTTTGCTTTAAAAAGGTAGTAAGAAGACCAGCCTATAGCTGTTCATATCCAGGGGGTCCAGGGAAGGTTTTTTCAGAAGCAGCCTAACTGCCACTTCCTTCAAATAAGATGGAACATGACCTTCTCTGAGGGATGCATTGACGATGTCCCTAAGGAGCATCCTCAAGGCATCCCCTCTGGACGGCCAGCCACAATGGGCAAGGATCAAGCGGGCAGTTCGTCTTCCTCACTCTACCAAGGAGCTTGTCCACATCATCAGTACTCACAGATTGAAACTGATCCAGTATAATTTCATTACCGGAGTTGCTGGACGCCTCTTCAATTGATTCCATTACAACACTGGCATCTAAGTTGGCTCTTATCTGAGAGATTTTATCTGCAAAAAAATTGTTAAACATGTCACAGCAGACCGTTGTTGGGTTAAGTAGTGGGTTCTGCACAAGTGGCACCCACGTCAGCTCTCCTACCATCATAAACAGTTCCACTAGATGGGACTCTGCAGAGGTAATACTTGCAGAGAAGAAAAATCTCTGCGCTGCACATATTGCCTCTCGATAAGAACAAATAAAGTTCCTATGACAAGTCTGTCAGATAAGAGTCAAGTTTTCCACTAGATTGCTCAAGCCAACTTGCTTCGTCTTCCTAAGCTCTTCTGTATACCAAGGCATCTGGTGTGAAGTGGGTTGGAAAGGATGCTTGGGAGCGATTGTGTCGATAGCCTTGGCAAGGTCAGTATTCCAGATATTCACCAGGGCTTCAACAGAATCACTGGCGTTACCAATCATTAAACTCTCCAAGGCTTTCTGGAATCCAATAGGTTCCATTAGCCCTCGAGGGTGGACCATTCTAATGGGTCCACCACCCCCTGTGGGGTAGACAGGGGTTCTTAGTTTAGCCTTGATCAGGAATGATCCGTCCATGACAATGTGGAGGTATTTATTATCTCCACCCACAGATATTCCTGTTCTGTACTGAAGACTGCATTGAGGGTATGACCCACACAAGGAGTGGGCCCGAAGACCAATTGCCCTAGGCCATGTTTGTCATGGATTCCATGAACTCCCGAACCGCACCTGTTAGACTTAACAAACTGGTCTCAATTGGAATGTTGAAGTTGCCCAAGACTAGGAGTCTGGGTGACTCCAACAGCTCTGAGACCAGCTATGTCAGCTCGATTAGGGAATGTGTTAGACAACGGGGTGGTCAGTAGACTAGCAGAATCTCCAAACTATCCTTGGTCCTCAGGCTCAGGTACATACACTCGAAGTGGATTGTGTTCTGGACAGATATCCCAGTCAAGGTTAGGTTGTTCTTGTGAACTAGAACCACTCTGCCCCAACTGCCCACTTCCCCTTACCTGCTCACTGACAGAGTACCCGGCCGGGAGGGCCTGCATTGCTGTAGTAGCACTATCCTCATCCCAGCCAGGTTTCTGTAAAGCAAGCCAGGTTGGCATTCTCATCTATGAGGAGGTCATAGATAATATGGTCTTATTCTTAACCAACTTGGCATTGCAAAGGAGCAAGGTAAGGTTCTGTGGAATGATTGGTGCGCTCCCCAACTCATTCTGGGAAACAGAGTGAACTGAAGGCGGGATAGCTATCAAACATCGATCCTGCCTTGTTTTGTAACAGCTCTTCACTCTGTTGCTGCCATGCCTTCCCTTCCCCTGCACAACCTCAATTTCCTCTCCCAGATAATTTCCGGCCACTATAAAAGATGGAGATATTAAGGAGCCAAAGTAACTTCCTTCCCCACATTCTCTTGGCCATTCAGAAAAAGGAAGACCCTTGGTGGCCAGCTCAGGTATGTGTGTGTGTGTGTGGGAGGTCTGTTTGCTGTTAAAGGCAGGAGGGTGGGGGGGGATCAAGAAGTCTCCACCCAGTCCTGGTGCTCAACCCAGATCCTGGCATCAATACTGCTGCTGGTGGTGGAAAGGCTGGGCAGGCTAGATGGAAACTCCCACCCAGAACCCAGCTCTCAGGCTCACCCCTGCTGCCCCTGTTGAGGTAAAGGAATGAGAGGGCTACATAACCTCCACCCGAGTCTCTCCCAGTCTCACTGCTGCTGCTACTGTCTCGCTGCCAGGAGGTGGTGGTAATTGGGCAACTACAAGGCTCCGTCTGGGCCTCTCTCGGCCCTGCCACCACTGCTGCTGCCGCGCTGCCAGGAGGTGGTCATGGTTGAGAGGGTTTTTGAGCCTCCGCCTGGACCTCTCTCAGCCCCACCGCTGCTGAGACCAGTTAAAGTGGTCTCAAATAGGAGTATTTCTGCAGAGTGTTTTGGACCACAGATTTGCAGTGGCTCTTCAATGCTTCAGGTAGTAATCTTAACCAGACCTATTGCCAGATGTCAACAAGAGAACCCAGACAAGAGAATCCACATTCACAGTCTATGAGATAGTGAACAGACTGGTGAACCTATTAATTCATTTTTGACAAATGAAAATACAGTACCAGTTAGAAACAAAGACTCATGAGATCCTTTATTTCCTCTATCTTTCTAATCTGTCATAGAAAAAGAAAGAAAGAAAGAAAGAAAGAAAGAAAGAAAGAAAGAA